AAAAGCTGTAAATACACTTCCAGGTTATTGTTAATGTTACAAAGCAGGCTCAGCCAGAGTGGTGACATTTCAGTGTTTGTCACAGAGCAATAAATATACAGTAAGGAGTCTGGTGCGCTCTGCTTGGATTTGCATAGCCTCTGTATGTCCCCACAGACTTCTCTCTCTGTCTCTCCCCTACCATTGCTCTCTCCTCCCCTTTCCGTTTCTTCCTCCTTTGCTGTCATTTAGTCTCTCCGTTGTATACAGCCTCTTTCCAATGTGCTGTGTCTCTGTTGGCTTAAACATGCGTATAAAAAAAAAGGGGGGGAAGCATTGTTTTTTGTTTTTTTTTTATGCTTAGCTTCTTTTGTTTTTGCATTTTAGGTCATCTGGACTTTGATCACAATGGGGGTGAAAGACCGCCCTCAGTGTTACTTTGATGTGGAGCTCAACCGGGAGCCAAGTAAGGGAAATCCTTATCAGTTTACAGGTGGAGGGAATAGTTAGTTAGAGCCTACCTTAACTTCCATACTTTGAATTGATATGTAAAAAAAAAAAGGATTTTTAAATTAATGTTATGTATAGATTTTGTTTTTGGTGTTCAAGCTTTTCATTGATATTCATTTACAAAATGAAAGTGGCTCACTCAGTGGTGAATAAACTTGATAGACTGGTTTAGCGTCAGCTGTATCTGTGCTGAGAGGTTATATTTCTATATAACCCCTGATAGCTGCTCAGAATGAAAATATTGACCAGACTGTTTTAGTGACTTTATCCTGAAAGATGTAGCTGATGCCCTTCTTCCACAGCTGTCCCTCACATAGTATCAGACTTGCCATTAGCTACAGAGAGGTTTCTGTAATAGAAACTTGTAGCTTGTAATAGAAAATGTAGCTGTGAACTATTAAAGATTGTTTCCAGTTGTTTACATGTTGTTGTTTATATGTGAGTTATTTTGACTTTGCTTAAAGATGATACTTTTAGTGACTCTTCTTTCCCACTTATGTGTCTTGTAGTTGGGCGTATAGTCTTTCAGCTTTTTTCGGATATTTGTCCCAAGACCAGCAAAAACTTCCTCTGTTTGTGCACTGGTGAGTAATCCTCATTCAGAGATATCTTCCAGTCAAATGTCATGACCTTACAGCATTTCATTAATCGCATATTTGAATAATTCTGCTTAAAAATGTGATTCAACATGGCAAAAACCAGACTAAAGTGCAAGATTTTCACTACTTTAACTCTAAAATTTCAAAACTACTTGATTAACATGGAAAAACAGATTTCATTTATGTAGCTTACTTTTCTGTGTATTTGTTTAAATTCATTTTTATCAAATGTCAAATTGTCCCGTGGTTTCATAACAATGCAGGTAAATAGTGAATTGTAGCAGGTTTTTAAATCGCCAAATAAATAATCCACCAGATAAATAATCCACTTTGTTGACAGAAGGCTGTTTATTGATCAAAGTCTGCACAGCATTATCACCACAGGCTAAAGACTGAAGAGTCGGCAGGATCGCTGATGTGGGAATTATTGTCCAGCGGTAGTAGTGCGTCAGCACTCGTTGGTAGTCCATTGATCCACCTGCACAGATTGTCCGTTGTCAGATAGGGGCAGTGTCAAAAATCTCTGGGGTACTCCGAAGCTGCAGAGAAGAGTGATGGCACTATTGCCATTGCCATTCATGGCAGATTGCACAGTGTTTTAGTTTCATTTAGTTTTGTTTCTGCAACACTGAGTTGAAGACACGTATGAAGTGTATGATAGTCAGTTTTTAATTGCCGTTTTAATGATATATCCATACACAAGCTCATAGTTTGACACACTACACATGGAGGGAAGCTACAGCAGTTTGAAAAGATTAGACTTTCTTGAATAAACACACACGGCAATGTCTTTGCTTCCAGTTTTGACTTCTTTCCTTTATCAGCACTGACGTGGCGACACCTAACCTTCAGGAGAATACTGCACACGCTACCTGCGCTTTAACAGTGAGCGTAAACAGAAGTGGTTCTGTGACAGTGATAACATCAGCGTGCAAAGCGACTAACGCACTGGTTATACCGGGATCATTGTAAATAAAAGCTGAAGTGAGGGGAAAACAAAGTTTAAAAACAACAAAACTCATTTACTGCACCACACCAGTCCGTAGTTTTCACGCTGTATCTTTTCATCTGTGATGGATTTTTTGGGGGGTGCTTAACTTCCTGTTGAACTTTGAAGGAATTTACAGAAACATATTTGCAGTGGTTTAAACCTCTTTCCAAAGGCTCGTCTGCTTGTACAAATGACCATAAATAAAGTGTTAAAGGGGCAAGTTTCACTCGCTGACTGATCGAGTCACAGCTTTAGAGAAGAGGTTTTCTCTCACAGTCGAGAAGTTTGCTGAAGTTTAAGCGTCAGAAACTGTTCAATAAAATAAAAATTTCTGACATAATTTTGAGAGATAACGTCCTGTGATGTGCTGCATCACAGATGTTGTCAACCTCATCTGTTTGGCCTTACAGAAGTGCAACTTAACAAGGTTTATCCAAGCACTGCAATACAATAGCAATGAGAACGTTATTAAATAAGTGAAATAAAATGACAATAACGTAATAAAAAACATATACCATTTTATGACTTATGTTGTGGCTGCTCTGTTTTCTAGATATTTCATCCCACAGAGCAGTGTAGTGTACTGTAGAGGCAGTGGTTTGCCTAGAGAAAGTCATAAATCTGCAGACACATAGCCGAGCAATCCCCCCGTCTCATTTTTCACCCTACCTGGCCAACGGGAATGCGATGGCAGCAAAGGCAGACATGGGAAAAGGCTCGTTAGTCTGTTCCTGAACCAACACATGCACAGACAGCACACCAGTGAAGCAGTAATACACACCCGCATTCAGCTGGTGCAGTTTGCTGACTTTCTCAAAGTTTCTAATGTGTCCTTTTAGAATTGGATCAGCTCACTCCAAAGGAAACCAAACCCCTGGAACAGTGCCGAAGCCAAAGAAGTAAAATACTAAACCCTTAGCTTAGCTTTTCAATAGGACACACAGCCTCTTTCTGCTGAAAGCCACCTTCAACACATCACCACATCTAATTAAATCCTGCCTTCACGTCATTTCACCCCAGGAGTAAGGGGACTCTGGAGGGTAATAGCTTTGGGCCAGTATTGTGTCCCCGGTTAGTATTGGTCCAGTGGAAGATTTATTAATGAATTTGGCAGTCCTCCAAGGGAGTACCAGCAGGATGCCAGACTAAAGGCATATAGCTTACTGAAAGCCACCACCCAAATGTGGTTTTCATTCCTTTGTGGCAATATTAAAAGCCTTTGTTTCTTAAAACCATCTAGTAAACACAGAAGCACTTTGTGTATTAGCAGGTTGAGTGTTTTTGTTTTTTGGCGAGAGCTCAGTTAACATGAATGTCATTGCAGGTGAAAGAGGAACTGGGAAAGTCACAAGGAAAAAGCTGTGCTACAAAGGCTCCACGTTTCACCGAGTTGTAAAAAACTTTATGATTCAGGGAGGCGACTTTACTGAAGGTAATGTTATAATCCCCCGTTTACCTAAGAACGTGTTCACAGTGCTCCACCTTTTTCTAATTTGCTAGTTTGTTCGTTTCAGTCCAAAATCTAATGAAAGCCAACAGAGCGTAACACAGCTTATGTGAGCGGGGCGAAAAAACCTCTCATTTGGGTTGTTTTAAAGATGGATTAAATGCTCTCCAGGTGGGAAATGTTTTTCAATAATAACATTAATTAGAGGCCAAATTAAAATGGGTAAAAACTGATCAAAGCTGTTAATCTCATCAAAGTGCCAACATACCGTAAACATGCTCTGCGGCTTTGTTGTGGGTGTTCATGGCAGGAATCCAGGAGACTACAGTTTCCTGAACATGGCAGCCACTTCAAAAATGAGCCCAATAAACATGAATCACTGCTGCCTTTGCTGATGAGGCAGCATCTTTTTCAGCAGCTACACACAATTACACTGCTGCAATATAAAGAAGCTGCTGTGAATTTATTTGACTTTATTAATCTTTGCAGGAAATGGAAGAGGAGGGGAATCCATATATGGAGGCTACTTTGAAGGTATTTGGAATATCAAGTTATCTAATAATCTAATAATAGTGATGCATATCTATACTAAAAAAACAAAGCATGCATATAAAGTTGCATAGATGGTTAATGGGTTTTGTGTGCGAATTGTTCTATGTTTGACTGCGCTGACCTTCACTTTTCCATTGTGTAGTTCTTCTATGTAGTAACAGCAGTAGGCTTTATCAAATCAAGATGGAGAGTAGGCATTCTCTTTACTGAAAGCTACAATCTTCCTGCCTAAAATTTTCAACATATTCTCTTATTTATAGAGTGGTCTTTTGCAAAATGAAAAGGTAAGAGATGTACACAGCTCCGTAACACCATGCCAACATCGTCCCCACCACCTTCCTCAGTCAGTGAAAGCAGTGCAAATGCTCGCAGCGTCACAGATTCACATTTGTACTGAAAGGTCCCCCCCCCCTCAGATTAGGGTTTTTATGTTAAATAGGTGGAACTAGCAGGACATGAAGCCAGAACCAGACGGGTGGTTTTGCTCTTTAGTAAGAAGATATTGCACTTTTAACTTTTATATTGTATATCTTCTCTTTGTTAAAACTGTACATTACGGGGACTATTTTGTTTTTGCAAAGCACTCATTAATCTCCAGCTTTGAAAAACCCCTTGAAACTTGAAGTGATCCAACAGCGTCGCACCGCCTTATGTTACCGTTACAGCCGTAACTGCTTTTTCTAAGCAGGGCCCTCAAAGTAAGCACTGTCAGTGATGGTGCTTACTTTTGAGATGGACCAGACCCTCGTTGAGAATCTCCTAAATCAGTGGTTTGGACATTTTTCTCTAACTTTTTAAAGCTTTTAGAAACAAAGCTTATGTCACCCTGCTAAACCCAAGGGTGAACTCCAGAGCAATATGTAAACCAGACTTCTAAACACAACTTGCAAAGTTCATTCCTGGTAGCTGTGCAAGCAAAAGATAATGGTTCCTTTTATAAATTCGACTGAGTGTGTTTTCTGGAACTCCTACAGCGGATTAACCCTCGAATATATCAGAATGCAGCTCTGACTTGAAGACTGTGATGTAAGGTTGACTTTGAGAAATGCACGTAATATATTGCACACATCAGCAAGCAGATCTGCTTGTAGCTATGATGTGAACAGAAACCAGTGTGGTACCTTTTCATCTGAAAAGTGCAAGTTGTTGAAAGTCATTACTGGTTTGGTACTTTATAAACAGACTGCAGTAATATTTGGCCCGACAGAAACCTTTTGTTAGAGCTGACTTTATGGAAGGATAGGTTGGTGAGACAGCGAAAAGCTTTAATGAATTAATAAACCTTTTTGTTTTGTTTTTTTAAATGATTATTTTTATTAACACTTGAATCCTCTGCATCTGCCCCCGACAGATGAGAACTTCACTCTCAAACACGACAGAGCCTTCCTGCTGTCGATGGCCAATCGTGGGAAGGACACCAACGGCTCACAGTTTTTTATGTGAGTAACTTTTAAATTAAAACATTGCTTTTAAAAACTTACCCCCCAACCACCACTATTTTACTGTCATTCTTAAGAAAGTTTCTTATTAGTTTTTGCTTTCTATCCCTTTTTTTTTTTTTTTTCCTGTTTTGAGATTTTAGAGTAGAATTTGTCATTAAGTGTGACCATCAGCAGTCCCTTCTTCTGTGTGCAGTTAGTTTCAAAGTGCAGAGAAACATTGGATTCATTCTTTTTCACCTACAATTGTTACATTTTTTCTCTTGCCGTTTTTGTGTAAAATTTACAGAAACTCTAGCATCCTGCTCTTCCAAGGTAATGTGTCTCAAAGGCTGTGTTTCTCTCTCTCCTGACTGTATTTATCATTGAGTAGTTTGTCTTTGCAATTGTTGGACTTGCTTAAATATTTCACAAATGGCTTGAGGTGACTCAAAATGTTATTTTGGCTTCCGTTGTCACAAAAGCAGGTTCTGAACATACGATTGACATTTTCCTCCATGATTACAAATTCTCGAAGGAGGAAATGTAGATATGTAGTCTTTGTGCAAATTGATTTTTATAACAGAAAAAATGATAATGTAATTTACCACACTCTGCTGTTGAGTGTTTTCCTAATTGAGTTGCAATCAGATGTCATTAAAGAAAGGTTTGTTGCACAATTCCTTTTGAGATTTTCCCTGTGGTACAGTAGCATCCCCGCTTTGATCGAGGTATTTGTTTATTGTTATTCTTTTCTCTTTTTTCCCACTTTCATGGCCCGGCTTCCACCTTTGGTTGACTCCCCACCTCACTTACTGCTGGATTATCCATAATCAGCACAACTAAGATGGCGCCTCATCTTGATGGGTAGGTACATCTGATATTATTATTTCACATTCTAATTCTATATAGAAATCTGAAAATGAGACTTTCAGTGTATTGATATGAAACTTTTTGGGGAAAAAAAAATCCCAACATCCCAACAACTATTGTTAGGTTTCTATGTTACTAAACTGATTATAGCATGTTTGGCGTTAGCCACACAGGCTGGCAATCACCTGTTGCTTAGGAAAGATGTGTATTCCTTGACCGGTTGCTGAATATTTGCTGGCTGTCACTAAGTGAAATGGGTTGCAAATAGGTTGGTTCACCAAAAACCCTCCTGGTGGTTCCTTTGGTCTTTAGCAGATTGCCTCGGTCACTCGTAGTTTGCATGGAAGACGCTGTGCAAACAACGTAAACGGACAATTTTACCGAGCATCAGGAAGCAACCTCCAGCAACCACTCGCAGTTGCTAGCTGTTAAGCAGGCCTGTGTGAGTGGGATTTTAATAGATTAGAACCCTTTTGGTAGTTTTCAAACTTTAGCTCAATGTACTGTGCTAATGTAGGATATTCTGTCATAGGAAGTTGATTGAGGCAAAACCTAAATGCTCTCCAGGGCTTAAAACTAACATAATAGTACATTTAATGTTGGTTTTAGTTTCAAGTCTGTCTTGCGTCTATGCAGAGTCCACGTCGTCTTTGGTCTGGTCATCTCCGGATTTGAAGTGATAAAGAAGATTGAGGGGCTGAAGACTGATTCTGCCAGCAGACCGTACGCTGACGTGAGAGTGATCGACTGTGGTCAGCTGATCACCAAGTCTGCAAACGATGGTACGTTCAGTAACCTTCTTAAGTGGAAGGATTAGCTTTGTTGTATTTATTCATTTATTTTTGATAAGTAAATCTGATGAAAAGGTCCCATGCATCCTGGGTACTGTAGTTTTTGGAGAATTGTATCCAAATTTTTTCTTTGATCTTTGAGAAGATACTATTAGACAATACCCTTAGACCCACTGTATGAAATCTTTGGGTTTGTTTAGATTAGATGTGTTGCCACTCAGCCAGTGTAGTGTGACTGTAAGTTTTGTTATAATACAAAAGCTTTAATAGAATATCTGTAGTGAAAGTTACACATTTTATGCTCATTTGTTTTTGTTTCCAGTGAGGGATAATGTGTGTTGCCTGTGATTATAACTGGCTCGTATTTCATGCTCATGTTCATTTTGTTGGCGTTTGGATGCCAGCGTCTCCCCCCCGCCACTGGCATTAACACGGGGCGTGTAACTGGATCTTCTGTTTAATGAGGATCAGCGAGGTGATCTCTGTGGAGTTCAGTTGGCTTCAGCCCACCTGACTCTGCCAGGGCTGCTTTCATTGCCTTGAACATACCAGGAAAGAACAGACAAAGCTTTTCTTGTACTTGTACCATCATGAAAATGACTCCTGGCGTCTGAGCTTTCCCTCTTCTTTTACTAACTATACGAGTCAAGTATTCTTCAGAATTAGCACATTTTAATTTATTTCCACACGTTCTGTTGTATTTCTTCCTGCAGTGCTAGAAGGCAAGCGGAAAAGAACTTCCCATTCTGCTGACTCGTCCCTGAGCTCCCATGACTCGTTCTCCCAGTTCTCCTCAGTGGAGTCTGAAAGTGAACTTGATGAAAAGCACAGGCGTTACAAGCAAAAGAGACATTCGAAAAGTAAACGGCCTAAAAAGAAAAGGAGACTGTCAAGGAAGGACAAAGATGCAGATAGTCTGCCTTCCAAGCAAAGGTGATTTTTATTTATTTTATTATGTAAGTTCTTGTTCATGATCACATTATAACGTTTTTTTTAAATAAATACTTACACATATCTTGTGTGTTGTCAGTTTTCACCAATTGACTGTATAGACTTCAGTACTGACATCTGTAGGAGCTTTTTGTTGTTTTCTTAATAAAAATATAACTGCTGTCACAGCCCTGTGGGAAGAGAGCTACGAGCGGGAGAGAACGAGGTGGAAGAAGAGAGGGAGCTGGGTGGGAAGAGAGAGAAGCCCGTTGTTCGGCCAGAGGAAATACCACCTGTGCCAGAAAACCGCTTCCTGCTGCGACGGGACATGCCATCTCAGGAAGATAAAGCAGAAATGTCAGTTCAAAGTTGTGCTTCATGTATATACTTTTTTTTTTTTTAATGAGCAACCAAAACACTAATTTAAGTAAACACAGCAAGTGCTGCAATTTGATTTCAATTTCAAATTAATTTTCAGAGTTAAAAAAGAAGAAGCAACTCTTCCAGCTGACCCGAAACCAGCTGTATCCAAGTCTGGACGGAAGATCAGAGGCAGAGGAACGATAGTAAGCTCACCTCAACTAAGATCAGAGATTGCTAACATAATGTATATGTAAATATTCAAATTTTTGGATTTCTTTTTGAGTCACAGGAGTGAATTTTGTAAAACGTGTTTATCTAGTCTAACTCTTATGCAGAATTAGTTTTAATGAATTGTTTGCAAATGCACAGTTTTTACTTTTTTTGTCTTTCGCAGCGGTATCACACTCCTACGAGGTCTAAATCACGCTCTGCATCTGTAGAGGAGCGTGGAAGCAGTGAAACTCCACCGCACTGGAAAGAAGAAATGAAGAGAACCAAAATTTATCAACCCCCAAGCATCGAGCGATGGAGCAAAGGAGACAAGTATGACCAAGTGTTTTCCTTCCTAACTTTAAACACTAGTTTTCCTTCTATTTGCTTTCATGCGTCTTTTGGCTTAACAGATTGAATGACCATTCCTCAAGCAGATGGGACAACAGAAGCGACTCTGCGTGGTCCCAGTCTGCAGAGCACTCCTCAGACCACAGCTCGGAGAGGTCCAGCCAGCGCTGCCAACAGAAGAAGGCGAAGAAGAAATCTAAACACAAGAAAAAGGCCAAAAAGCGGAAACATAACAAGAAGAAGAGTTCCAAGAGCAAACATCAAAACCAGTCAGATGGAGAAAGGTCTGTGTCTTCAGAGAAAGGGTTCAGAAAATCTCGTTCGCTAACTCGTTCTTCTTCGAGTCAACACCACTCTTCAAACAGAAGGAGACGCCGATCCTCGGGGTCATACGGAGATTCCCGATCCTACTCTAAGTCATACACATCCAGTCGATCCAGATCTCAAGGAAGGTCCCTGTCTTACTCAAGATCTAGAAGCCGGTCTGGATCTAGAGGGCGATCTTTCTCTAGATCTAGGTCTTGGTCCCATTCTCACTCCCGGTCTAAATCAAGGTACAGATCCAGATCTTTGACGCCACCCAGAAAAAGGAGTTTTTCCAGATCTCCGAGAAAGAAAAAAACAAGCAAACCAGACGCCATGATCCCTGTGAGTGAGAAGCTTCAAGAGAGCAAAGTCGCACCTGTCCCCAGACTGCCAGCTGTCCCGGCTCCTGAAAGTGTCCCTGTGATCCCATTGAGCGACAGTCCACCTCCCTCTCGCTGGAAACCGGGTCAGAAACCATGGAAACCCTCCTACATCCATATTCAGGAAATTAAAGCTAAAGTAGCTCCCAGCAACATTTCCTCCACTGGGCAAGCAGTCGATAGCGCAGCAGATAAAGCTCAGACTTCAGCTACGCCAAAGTCTCTGCCAGGTGACTCTGAAGACAACACAGCACAAAAACCTTCACGGCTCTCACGCAGCAGGTCATCCAAGAGTAGATCTTACAGCCGTTCTTATAGTCGCTCACGGAGTCGGAGTTACAGTAGGTCCAGGTCCAGGTCCGCTCACCGGCACAAGAGCAGGTCATCGTCCTACAGCAGATCAGAGTCTGAAAAGTCCCCAAAAACAAGTAACGCAAAGAAGGAGTCACTAGACAAGGAGTGGAAGGAGTACTACAGTTCTCTGAGCAGAGTAAAGAATTTGGATAAGTTAATTTCAGTAAGCCTTAGTCAAGATGGTCACTCAGGATCGGAGAACAGGACAGACAGTGAGCGCAGCCCTGGTGTCATTGGCTCTGTGGAGCAAATAAAAGACAAGGGAAGCTCAGAGGATCTGGAGACGAAGCATTGCAGTTCAGTGCCAGCAGAGACTTTTAATAACAGGTCTGAATGGGACAGTGACAGTGATAAGGTGAGCCAGAGCAACAGCGCTATCCCATTGAAAATGCAGATAAGGGTGGCTCAGTATGCCGAGTCTCTGGAAAAGAAGTTATCTTCTATCTCTGGATGGAATTCAGAAAGTGACTCTGAAAATTTAGCAGCCAGGACATTAGCTATTTCTGAAAAAGAGGAAGGGGAAGCTAGTTCAGAATCGGATTATGAGATTTCCAGAAAAACATCTGATGGAGGGAATGCTCCGGCAGCTTCTGGTCAGTCAGAGGAAAGCCCAGAGAAAGCAGCAGAGCCAGAGAAGCACAAGAGCAAGAAGAAAGCTAAACGTAAGCATAAACATAAGAGGAGAAGTGAGAATAAAGGCAGTTCCCACCACAGTAAGGACAAGACCAAGAAGACTAAGCGAAAACATCAGAAGCTGAAAGAGACTTTTCACTGGCAACCACCTTTAGAGTTTGAAGAGGAGGAAGAAGAAGACGAATCCAAAAGGGAAAGACATAGTCCTGGAAGAGTTGTTAAAAAAAGTGCTGATGTTAATAACCTCAATGCAAAGGACCAAACTGCAAGCTGTAATCCTACTAAAGAAGAAGAAAGGGGGCAACAGAGGACAAAAGAAGGTATCAACAAAAATGCAAAACACACTGAACCTCATTTAGAGTCATCCAACAGGAATAGCGCCAGCGATTCTCACTGGCCAAGTGTCCAGGAGCTGGAGACATTAGATGACATGGACATTTGTACTCCGGAGCATGATGCTGAAATTGTTGAATCTTCAGTCTCGTGTCATCCTCACAACAGCGTTCCTAAAATAACCCTAAAATCTACCTCAAACTCTTCTGAGGTGGAAAACAATGACACTGCTTTATCTCATAGCAAAGAACAGTTTGCCGTTAGTTCCACAACAACAGCTGGCGGATCGCAAGACAAAGGAACCGCTGGCAAGCCTGCTGCCACTGTAATCAATTTAAAATGGAGGCCACTGAAAGGAACGTCAGCTGTACAGACTGTGAATGCTCCCCCTGTCACTGTGAAAAATGTCCAGGCTCAAGAGAACCAGACCGGCAACATGCAGGGAGTGAGAATGGAGATAAAAAGCAAAAGCCGGGTCCGACCGGGATCTCTGTTTGATGAGGTCCGTAAGACCGCGCGGCTCAACCAGAGACCGAGAAACCAGGAGAGCTCCAGTGAAGAGAGATCCCCCTCTGTGGGAAATGCAAAGGGAACACGGTCTCCAAAGACGTCCAGGTCCTTGTCTAGAAAATCCCGCTCTGTTTCCAGTCACCGGTCACGCTCCCGGGGGTGGTCCCACTCCTACAGCAGGTCCAGGAGCAGATCCCGCAGCTCCAGCTCCTCCTCCAGGTAAGTGAGAATAAAGCACTGCGATGATTTACAGACGCCACCTTTGAATCTTAATAAATTGTTTGATGTGAGTAGGAATGGTAATCAAGGACCGTTTTTTGTAGAAAACCGATTCCCAGTAGTCCAATTCCTTGGGACTATTAGTCTGGCTGCTTATCGATCAATCTTGCACTCACACTACAATCAGCTGACTTTAATTCACGTGACAGAGGAAAATACCAACTTAGTCTAGAGCGTGGTTATGTACAGTGGGGCAAAAAAGTATTTAGTCAGCCACCGATTGTGCAAGTTCCCCCACGTAAAGGTCAGTAATTTGCACCAGAGGTACACTTCACCTGTGAGAGACAGAGTGTGAAAAAAAAATCCATGAATCCACATGGTAGGATTTGTAAAGAATTTATTCGTAAATCAGGGTGGAAAATAAGTATTTGGTCAA